GCGGATTGGTGGAGCAATTACTCATTATTAAGACAAAAATCAAAAACGTCCATTTTCACTTTTGACAGTGTATCTCTTTGCGAGTGAAATGGGGCCGTCAGATAAGCCGCCCATATGAACTGTTTGTGTTCATGTGTAGGCAATTGGTCTGTTATTAACATACACTGATTACCTCTAATAAAAACAGCAGTGCATTTCCGCAGTTTTGTATTGTTTCTGAATATCCCCTACTTGTTTTGAAGAGTATATATATTTATGTCACTGAATACTTACATATAAGATGATGTCACTGAATACTAACACATAGATGTCTATGAACGAATATATCACACCTATATTATATTGTATCTGTTAAAATAGCACTAGTTCGTTGATTTGTTTCAAAAACAGAGACTTCCACTTAAAACACATCAGATCAACCCCAAAAATGTAGCGATTCTTCAGACACCCAAAAAGTGACCAAATTGAATACCCACCTGCAAGGAATTACTAGCCAATAATTAAAACAAGTGTTTATGTTGAAACATACCACCAATCAGCACCTGCAAACTAACATGCCACAACACAAGAAGCAATGCAATCCAGAAGAACTTACACTTACACGCACGGGACGACAAAAAAATCGACATCAAACTTATTTTAAAGATGACACAAGAATGCACATTCATTCTTAGATAACATTTACACTTTCAACATATTTTTAAAGTCAACAATTAAATATTTTGACAACGACGATACAAAAGAAGTATGGTTAATCAAAAGAGAAATCTTGACATCATTATCCCAATGGACACAACATTTCTATAACGTAATTTACAATAAATATCAAACGTCAATTTAAGTCACAAGGGCCTTAATTTGCTTTAAATCATAATGTCAAAATATATGTAGTTTTATATTAGAAAATATATTTCAACAAAAAAAAAGATTAAAGATATATCCATTGAAATTTATTAACGCCATCTATTTCAGGTCAAATTTATTTTTAACCGAAATTAATTTGGAAGCTACAATGATAGATAGTATCATTCAGATAATAACAAATATGTTTTTGTGCTGGAGACAAGTGTTCAACATTTTCACATATAGTAATTAGCCTGTGCAAACACAGAGCATTGGTTGTAACTGGCACAGATTTAACTCTTGCACAATCAATCTTTAAATGACGAATTTGCCTTTTAGTAGAAGTGATGTCTGAATAAACTCTTAAAAAATACAGTTTTAACAAAATGCAAACGGCAAGCAGTTGATCTGTAAAGAACGAAGAACGTTACGCTATTAATCACGGAGAGATGTCCAAAGTATCTTCAAATATTTTTGTCAATAATTTACTCGAACTTAATTCTTTTATGTATCTAAATCACGAAACAACGTGATCTATGGATATATCTCACAATCTTGTGGGGCAGAATTGCAAAACCCAATTTAATAATATTACTGCTAATATCGCCATTTATTAACATTTACCAACCCTTGTTGACCGATCTCGTGTTGCTGAGAACACAGTTGCCAATACATCCTAAATCTGCGTGTTTACGATATAATGGAAACATCAGAAAAGCATCCCCAGATAGATACAGGAATAAACTAAATACCATCATAGCGACATTTGATGTCAACAGTGACATTTACCACAGTTTTACAGATTATACATTGGTATGGAAGGAATGTCACTAGAAATCACTTTTTCGCTTGGGTATTGAATAATTAAATTGAAACCCACGAAATCATTCTGAAGTTTGGGTCAAATGTCAAATGAACACTAATAAGAAGCTATGTGCTTGTTAAAAGGAAAGCCAAAGCAAAACAAAAGATAGGTTGCCAGACAACGATACATACGCCCACAGCAGCTAAGTCGTCCGGTCACTTTTTATGCTTGTGTTGGTAATGGGAGCATTCCTAATTTTGTTAGTGGTAGACATAAAATGAGTGAGGGTTAGGTGGAAAAAGGGAGTGAACTGAGTTTTGGGTTAGTGGATGTTGTTAACCGCTTTAAAATAATTTGATTATTGTCTTGAATATTCCGTTGAAACGAATTTATATTGCATGCGGGTGGGTGTGTGGTGGGCTGGGGGCGGGGCTGGGGGCGGGGGTGGGGTGGGTTGGGGGCGTAGCCATAAGCACAATGCACAATTTTCAAGTCAATCGCACAGTAACTTGAGGCTCTAGAGCATCAACAAGATTGATCAAATTGACTAAGGGCCATAACTCTTGACAGTAATTATTGGAAGTTGTTGAAAATTAATGGGCTTCGTCTCATTAACATAAACACTCTGTATAATGTTTAAGTCAATCTTATAACTTTAGCTTCTAGAACATCCACAAGATTTTTTTAAATCGATCATGTGTGATAACTCTAACAGTAATTAATAGGCTTCTTCGTCCCATTAACATAAACACTGTGCATAATTTTAAAGTCAATCTTATAACTTTGGCCTCTAGAGCATCCACAAGATTTTTGAGATCAATCAAGTGTGACAACTCTAACTGTAATAAATACGCTTCTTCGTCTAATGACCACAAACACTGTGTATCACATTAAAGTCAATCGGATGATAACTTTGTCTCTAGAGCGTCCACAAAAATTTTCAAATCAATCAAATGTGATAACTCTAGCAGTAATTAATGGGCTTCTTCGTCTCATCAACATAATATTAATGTCTTATAACTTTAGCCTCTAGAAAATCCACACGATTTATCAAATCGATCAAGTGTGATAACTCTAACAGTAATAAATAAGTGTCTTCGTCTCATGACCACAAACACTGTGTATCAAATTAAAGTCAATCGAATGATAACTTTGGTCTCTAAAGCGTCCACAAGAGGCATAAATCACTCAGCAATTATCGGAAATCGCTGAAAATCGATAAACTTCTTCGTTTCGTGACCTTAAACACAATGCATAAATCTAAAGTGACCTTAGCCTCCACAAGATTTTTCAAAGTGATCAAGGGCCATAAGGCAGTTAATATCGGAAATCACTGAAAATCAACAGGTTTCTTCATCTCATGACCATAAACACTATGTATATATTTAAAGTCAACCGAGTGATAACTTCTGCCTCTAGTGATCAAACACTATGTATAAATTCAAGTTAATTGGGTAATAAATGTGTGTGATTGTCTACGATATCACCTTAGGTGCAAGTGGACGTAAAACTCTAGAAACGAACGAACGAACGTAATAAATGTAGCTTTTAGAGTGCCCACAACCAATTGTGGACGCCGGACCGACGGATGAGAGTGACGACAATATATAAACACATTTCAATGTGGGCGCATAAAAATATACATCAATCAAAGCACTAGAATCAAAAATTTGTATATTTTTTCTTGAAAGTCCGGCCCAACCAACCTCGATTCGAACGTAGGTATAACAGCTATTCACTTAAGGTTTGTGTTTGTATTCAGAAAAAGGTTTTATATTACGAAACAATAGTATTCGACAGTTATTAATGTTGCTTAATGATTTTGTTCACTAATTTGCGTACAGGATTTGTCATTTTGCGAATTAAAAACATATATCTCTATCACACTTATAATAAACATTAAGACCCAGCTCACCTGGCGCAGCTTCTCATTAATATGAAAATTCGCATAATAGACTGAGTTCAATATTAATGGTATACTCGTATAAATGATCTTAAATAAGAATGTTAAAACCAAATAAAATACTACGACCCCAATGAACAATAAATTTTCCAAACACAACTATTAAATACTAGGCCACACAAGACAAAAACTGCCTTCCCACAATCATTATCTGGAATCTAGCTAATACATTACTGCTCATACATGTAGTCTATGATATTTTTTTTAGCATTAAGAGGAAAGTAAGATAACATAAAAACAATACCTAATTGTATAAAACAACATTTATGATACTCCTGAAAGGCTTTAAACAGATTATAAAAGCATAAATGTTGCCAGTCAACTACATATACGCCCACTAGAAGAACACGATTAGTCACAATTAGTTTATTTAAACCTCGCATTATAATTTTTAGTATAGTCAAGAAAGGTATATATATAAATGGTCATCCAACCAGGAATATCCCTGGAAATGATTAAGAACAAAGTCATTGATAGCCAAGCCATAATGATAACTATGTCGATATACATGTAGATATGTTTGATGTTAAAAATTTATGATGACAAATAACCCCTTGCAGATGTGAGCGTATGTAGCTTGGAGATAGGGGCGCCTTCTCAACCTCGACTTCCGGGTACTCCGGTTTCCTCCCACAGGAAAGACCCCTGCGCCTGCGCTAGGATAATAAAAATGAAAATAAGACAACTTGTCTGCGATATCAACCTCGGTGGAAGCAAACGTTAAACATTAAGAACAACACAAGCCAAGCCAATCTACCAACGCCCTTTCAAAGACCTAGACAATCCATACACGTTAGAAAAGATAGGATGATAACCTTAGCTTTCTAGATCCCTAAAGTCACTGTGAAATCTTCAGGATATTTACAACATTTGGTCAGATAGACAGATGCCTTGACAATATAGATTGTGGTCGTCTAAAAACAAAGTTCATTAATAACCCGACTTTAAGAAATAGAAAATATATGATAATTTTGCAAAGAATTATTTATGTTGTATCTTCAATATCAAAATCAATATGAAATTGATGTACACGGTGCACTATTTCTACAATTCTAATCAATCGTTATACCCACATAAATGATCAATACAAGAAATGTTTGAATTTTGTTCTTCTTGAGGTGAAAATATTCAATTAATTTTAAAGTGGGAATATTTAATAATAAATCTTGAAGTGAGAATATTCAATTAATCTTGAAGTGAGAATATTCAATAAATCTTGACGTGACCATTATTCAATTAATCTTGACGTGAGAATATTCAATTAATCTGAATATTCAATTAAAGCTTATTTATCAACAAATGAAGTATATTAATATTTTTGTGTTTTTTTTCTTGAACTGAGAAATAGCAAATATTCAGTTAAAATAAACTTAATTAATTTCTGCTTACCACAAACAATTACAACAAGTAGAGCTGATAGCAACATGGTTAAGAAGAACCCAAGATAGAACTTTCCTAGTCGCCAATAATCTTTACAATGATTGCTGGCATCCAGAGACCGCCTACCGTTGCTTAGGTCTGTATCAATTTCGTCAGCCATAACACTTTCTCTTTAAGTCATTAGCTACCAATTATACATTTCATACACATCTAATAAAACATAACACTTCAACATTTTGTTTAGAAAATTGTAGCTTTAACATATTGTAACAGTGTTATGTCATATCGCGATAGGCGTTACAGATGTAATGCTTTCATACACAGCTGTAATACTGTAATACACAACAGGTACACATACGTAACGCAAACGTAGTCAATCCACTCTCTGTTGCTGTAGTTTAAAATTAAGATGGTTTCTACAAAACTGGTTTACACTCAGTTTTAAAACGAGAAAAAAAAACAAGACGCGATCTCAATAAACTGATGAAAGCGATAAAAAAGAAAACATACTCCGATATTTATGGCACTTGCGTGGAACCGATTTACATACACGATCGCCGTTAGTTGGCGTCAAGCCAATGTCTTTTCCCTCAATCACGTGCCCTTGCAGACATTGTCAGGTGGTCATTCTTATTATATTCATGGTTTAATTGGCTAGAACTTTTGTTTCAATAAATTAAGCCACTTGAAGGATGATTAAATCTTTCTCTAATGTGAAGTTAAATTAAACATACGGTATTTCATTCAAGATTGCTTCTAGTTCCGACTATTATAAGGGATTAGTGTTAAAACTGGTCGCTCTTACATTCGTCGACGTTTTGAGACAGTGGCGGTTTTGATTTATATGGTTACTTGTGCAATGTAAGGTAGATGAATTTTGTTGAGAGTTCAATGCCTTGAAGACTCCTGCATAATACGCATCGCCACAAAGTCGAGAAAGAAATTACATAACAGAAGCATATATATGAATTTTTAACTAATGGTCAACCAGACGAATTCGTGTAAAGACAACATGTTCACTCGCAAAACGAGAAAAATCCTATTACGAAAGTGGTACAAAGTGTTCTTGAAACGGTAAACATACCCTGCCTTATGCGCAATACACACCAGAGGCTATAAACTAATTGTTTTGCCAGAGCTTGCAAGGTAAATCAACACACTACTCCTTTAGAAATTAAACGTCATTTTAATGAGTTTTTTTAAAAAAAAAGATATTCATCTGCATTGCCTACATAATATGATTATTATCTAAAATCAACTATAACAGTCTGAAGCCGTTTTGCTGAGGGGGGGGGGGGGCATTGAGTCAACTGGCGTGGTTTCGATTTCCCGGTTGTACGTGACAAGGTAGGGTCGTCGTCTGTCGTCCAACCTTGTGGGTTTTAGTCGAGTCCTCCGAAGAAGCAAAATAATGCGACATCACATTTTCTAATCAAATTGTTGACTTTAAGAAACGTACCCCACAGTATTTTCTATTTGGAATGATTTGTATTCTTTTTGGTAGACGAAATGAAAACAAAATATCCATGTTCGGGTACATATATTTTTTAACTAAAATTTTCAAGAAATTATAAAAAAACCAAAACATTTAAGTAATTATGACGCCAGTAAGATTTAATCATTTTTGATATAAGGCCGAACGTATGATATAAGTCTGCCGGGTATTGTCCCATTTGAGAAGTTGATCTACCAAAAGTGGCGTTTAGCGTTTTCGCTTTTTTTTACGATTTTACTTACACAGTTGATCATCCATAGGCGTTTTAGAATGTGTGGGGAGGTATTGGGTAGATTTCTACTGTATGTTTCTTGTACTAGCAACTCTATTTATACCAGGCCCCGAATTCACAAAACATTCTCAGACTTACGTTAAGAATTTACTCAAAATTATTCGCTTGTTTTAATGTATCAAATATATCAATAACAAACTTTGTGCAAAGTTTTGTGTTTCTAGATCAAAGATCGAACCCAGGAAAATCTGGTTTGTGAGTCAGCGCCTGGTGACCCCAGTCCATCTTGTGCAACCCGAAACTTCTTTTTAACTAATTTGGTATATATCTGAGGACATAAATAGTGATTAATAAGTTCACAATGAATTAAATAATAAAGATATTCTTTTGTGTGAACAACACATGCTTGGCATATCACAAAAAGGCGGCCGCACATTAGTGGTTAAACAGGCGACCCTATTCCTTGTCACGTACAAGCCTGGGGTTAAAACACACCACTAGACTAGATGAAAGACCTTAATTATCTAAAACTCACTCGGACACAAAACTTCCCATCTTTTTATTTTTATCATAAAGGTTGCTATTAAATATAATTCAATGTGCATTAAAAAGGAGATATGATGGAAACGTATTAATTTGTACTTTATCTATTTTTTGAAAAGCAATGGGCGGCTTAATTACCTGAGCACATATGTTCACTATACCTGTATTTTTTTCATTAGCTTAAATCTGACTGTAGTAATTACGAACATTGTCCATAATCCTCCTACACCATTGAATCCCATACAGATTAACTCATGCCAAGGGAAAAACATCGGTATTAATTTTGACAAACATCTATGAAAAGCTGACATATATGTATATATGAATAATACAGAATCAATCGCCAGTTTACACCTACGCAGATAAATATTTGATTTCTGTCTTGAGCTTTGAATAGATTGTATCCGATCCATTTTCTATAAAAAAAATGTTTTTATTCAGATGTGTATCTGAATAGGAATTGGGGAACAGGCATAATCTATAATATAGATTATATATTATATAACCCTCCCTCCCTGTCAGATATATCTTCATGTATTTAAATTTTATAAAGAAACACATAATGTACAAGTGAAAATATAATTACAATGAGTGTGTTATAGTTGTCCCTGGAACTTTCTGGTGATTTCGAAAAAAACGACTGGACAGGTTTAAAAATATAAAGTGAGCTTTCCGTGTCGTGAATTCCGTGCAGTAAAATAGTAGTGTTTCGATGGGTAGATGTTAGAATATTTATGGTGTTATTTCGGGCATCTGAATATAAGGGGCCATTCAATAGAAAGTGTTCAGTATCTTCAAATTGATGACCACATTTACAGGATGGATTGTCAGAAGTATGTCAAGTTATGTCCAAGAGAGACGCGGTTTATAATGGACGATTTGGTTTACGAGGAACCTACAAAAAAGTTTTAGGTGATGTTGGTGCCATATCTTTCGAATTCAAATTATTTAGAGATATTGATTTTTTGTGTCTGCGCTTAATTTGTTCCATTCTCTAATTGACGAAGGTATAAAAGAATTATAGAAAATATTTGTTTTACAATGATATTCAGGTAGGCTGGTTTTACGTAGATTATAATGTGCGCTTTTTGTCAAGATTAAATTATGGAGATAAGATGGAGAAGGGCCGTTTATAATTTAATAAATTAATTTGAGTTTGTGTCTTTCTTTTAGCGTAATAAAACCGGTTTCTTCATACAACAGTCTATGGCTGGTACTCTTTACACCACCACATATTTTAATGGAAATTGATAATAGAAAATGTACATTTTTAATTTTTATTAGATTTATCTGCTGCTTTCGACACGGTGGACCCTTCCATTCTTCTACGTAGACTTCAATTTAAATTCGGTATTTGTGGCTCTGCATTAAATCTTTTAGAGAGCTATCTTGTGGGTAGAAAACAGTGTATTTTAGTTAATTGCAAATCGTCGTCTGAATCTGTTTTGTCATCTGGGGTTCCCCAAGGTTCTGTTCTTGGTCCGATTTTATTTACCCTCTATACGTCACCATTAGGAGATATTGTCAGAAAATATGGTCTCAGCTTTCATTTGTATGCCGATGATACTCAATTATATATTTCATTTACACCTAATTGTCCATCTTCTTTCAATTTATCAAAATTGCAACTTGAGAACTGTATTAGTGAAATTAGAAAATGGATGTCAAAGAACTTTCTAAAATTGAATGATGATAAAACCGAATATTTGTTATTAGGCTCAAGGCATCAATTAAGTAAATCTGCACAAGATAACCCCCCTGTTGTAATTGGTAATTGTGATATATTTTCATCTTATTCTGCTCGTAATATTGGCGCTATGTTTGATAGTTTTATGCTTATGGGAGCTCAAGTAAATAATATTTGTAAATTGTGCTATTTTAATATTAGAAATATAGGTAAAATACGTAAATGTGTAACTGGAGAGACCACTAAGTCACTTGTTAATTCTCTGGTTACTTCTCGATTAGATAACTTTAATTCACTTTTAGTTGGTTTACCTTTAAAGCTTATAGATAAATTACAAAAAGTACAGAATACTGCGGCTAGACTTGTTACTTTAACTAAGAAATGTGACCACATAACTCCTGTTTTATATAATTTACACTGGTTACCTGTTAAATATCGAATTGATTTTAAGATTTTATTACTTACTTTTAAATGTTTAAATAATTTAGCTCCTGTTTACCTCTCAGATCTTTTAGAACTTTATACACCTGGTTGAACATTACGTACATCAGATAAACTACTTTTAAAGCCCAAAACTGTTCAACTAGTCTCTTATGGTCTGCGCTCTTTTAGTTATCAAGCACCTGTTTTATGGAATAATCTACCATTTAGTTTAAGATGTTGTACATCTCTATATTCTTTTAAAAAACAACTTAAAACACATTTATTTAATCAGGCTTTTAACTGACTCTGTATACAATCGTTAACATGCCCATAATCTTGTTGTTTATGTGTGATTTACATTGTCACTTTGTAAAGTGCCCCTGAACATGTTATATGAAAGGGTGCACTATAAATATGCTGTAATAATAATAATAATAATAATAATAGTATGGATCTAACTGCCTCTAGTTGTAGGTGCTCTCATTTGTAGCTAGTTGGTCCATTCAATTGTACAAGATGATGTCACAATAATCAAACTGAGGTAGAATGAAAGAGGTATAGATGGTTTAGTCTGTATTTAATGACAGATTTGCTGTTTTTTTATAATGTCGTTAATATGTTTATTCCATTAGCAATTTCCTTGAAAAGTTGAGCTGGACGTATATTGCCGTCGCCTGTCCATCCGTGTGTTTGTTCACATTTTGTTTCTGGACCCTCTACAGGTCACAATTTTTATCCGATTTTAACCAGACTTGAAATATATGTTCATAACCCAAAGATCTCGGTCACAATTTTTTATCCAATTTTGATGAAACTTAAAACGTATGTTTATCACCCAATGTCAGTTTCTATCGATATTGGCGTATATCGGACTGTAACTTTCTGGATTATGGCCCCTGATTGTACGGAAAATCGCGTTGTTAGCTTGTGGACCCTCTAGAGATCACGATGTTTATCCTATTTTATAAACCGTTCAAATATATCACCGTTACAACATAATGACGGTTAGGACCG